AAATATGTAAAACATTAAAAAATATACAATATATCCGCGAATTGAGTTGACAAGAGGACAAATGGACCAAAAAGTAAAAGTTACGAAAAAAGGCTTTCTTGATAAAAGTAGAATCACTATGACGAACTTCAATTTTGTTTTACAGTGTCGGTCAAAAATACAAAAATGTTATTTTGCTTAAGAGTAAACATACCTTATTGTGCAAAATACGAAAAAAAGGTATTCTTGATAAAAGTTTTTGCTGGTTTATAGAATACGAATCACCGTGACGAACTTCAATTTTGTTGTACAGGGTGGGCCAAAAACACAAAAATGTTATTTTTCTTAAGAGTAAACATACCTTATTTGCAGGATACACAAAAAAATTTTTTCTTGAAAAATGTATAAAAGTCGATATCTGCCCACGCCATACTTTTACAATAACACCTGCAATATAATATCGTACTTAGAAAAGCTTGTTACATTTTTTTAGAAATTCTTTCGGATATTTAATGAAGCAATTAGAATAATGTGATTCTGATTATGGGGGTGGTGTTTTTGAAATTTGATATCTTCATCATATTGCTTTGTTTAATTTTTTTTAGATTAATTGTAATTATTTTTGTATTTAAAAATTACACTTTAGTAAGACGTATTTTAGTTTTATACTTTATTCCCTGTATAAAAAATTAAATTTTTGATAACCTGATTCATATTTCAAGCAAAAATTTTTATCAAGAATGTCTTTTTTCGTATCTTGCAAAATAAGGTAAGTTTACTTTTACGCAACATAAGATTTTTGCGTTTTTGACCCACCCTGTACAATAAAATTAAAGTTCGTCATGGTGATTCGTATTTTCTAACCAAGCAAAAACTTTTATTAAGAATACCTTTTTTTCGTATCTTTCAGTTTTTGGTTCATTTGTCCTCTCGTAAACTCAATCCGCGGACATACTGTAGACAAATTAAAAGAACTTATACAAGCTATAGAATAAATAAAACAAAATTTGTATCCAGCTAATACCATCTGCTGGCAATTACATGAACTAGACATAAACCAGCTAACAAACATATTTCTTTACGTAAAGTTGGCTAAACATTAAACCATAGTGATTCTAAATTTGAAATAATGACTTTAGATCAACTAATAAAAGCACGATTTCTAGTTTTTGGAAACAATTTATGTCATTCAAAATGAATTCGAATGGGGGATACAGCATCTCTAAACGTATACCAAAATGTAGAGCACTACATATATTTCACTAGTAGTTGTTGGTTAGTTAGTTTAATTGGTTGTTGATAAAGTGCAACGATACCTCTTACGGCAATTATCAACTACACACTAAAATTTAGATAGGATTATATTATTTTTTTAAGTTAAGGCTGAAGTTAAAAAATAAATGATAATTAAATAATTTAAAAAAAATTAATATTACTATTTCTTTAGAATGTATTTTTTATCAATATTTAAATCTTGCAATTATTGTCATCTTCTTCTTCTTCTAGTGGTTGGTCCTAATAAGTCCCATAGCACTGCGGCCTAATTAAGCCTATTGTGCGTCCCACTACTAGTCCTATTCAGCAAGTAGATTTATCCTTTTTACAAAGTCCAAAAGCTTCCTTGCTGACACTTCTCTCAGTTTCTTGGGTTCCAAATAGGGTCTCCCAAGGAGCGCCATTCTGCTACGTGCAAACGCCCGGCACTCGCCCAGGATATGCAGAGAAGTTTCATCCGCCGATTCACATCCTCGGCAGACCGGACTGTCTACCAGCTTATGTAGATGTTTCCTAAAGTGACAATGTCCCGTTATGAGTCCTGTCACTCTCCTGAGCCGGATTCTGTTCAAGCTCAGTAAATCATTCGCTCTTTCCTTCGAAAGATACTCCATGAGCTCCTTAGAATGGCTATGTCCTGGCCTTGAAGTCCAGTATTTCCTGTGTTCTGTCTCAGTCCATTTGCCCAGAGCTCGCCTGACCACAGTGGGAGATGTGCTACAGAAGGGCTCCGGGCCAATGAACTCTGTCTCGGATCCCTTCCTAGCAAGTTCATCCGCTTTCTCATTTCCACAAATGCCTTTGTGCCCTAGCACCCAACACAGTCTGACTGTATTGTTGGTGGCCAGTTCAGTTCAATTATTCCGCGCTAGCCTAAGGGCCACCTTAGCAAAGCGCATCCCAGGCTGCGTAGCCGCACTGCCCTACCCAACCATACCACACATAAACATGACACCACTCCCGGGGTTTACACAGACGAGCCGGCGAAGCAAGAAGAACGCCAGAAGAAAGGGCCCTAGCCGGCGGGGCCCAGCCAGGACAAAAGGAGGTCCCACAAAGCGCCTACACTGGCCGCATTTGCGGTCGGGGTAGACGACGGATGGGGCCCACCTACGAAGGCTGTCCAGGCCTACACGAGATGAAGCAGGATAAAGAGGGATAATCCCCCTCGATCCAAATCATTGAGGCCAATTTCTAGCCATGGAATAATGGCGCGCGAGTTCAATTATTGTCATAGTCATTGGGATAATAAACTTGCAGCTTTACTTTGGTTAATTTGAACACTTAAATGACAATAACACAGCTCCACAAAAAAAATGGAGAAATATTATCCCTGGAGTCTGACTATGAAAAATCCTGACGTGATTAGATTAAACGGATCCCGAATTTGGATTCAGAGGTCCCGAGAACATATAATAGACATAGTCAGACTCCAGGAATAATTTTCTCGATTTTTTTTTTTGTGGAGCTGTGTAATTTATTAGACCTGACTGACGTTTTATTCCCATGAGGCTTGAGTACATTTATCTGGTTATGTAAACAAACAGAATGATAGAACTGGGACTCCAGAAAATCTGTATAATTTTATTGAAACAATGTTACATTCTTAGAAGATAGATGGATACCAGTTTCAAGAGGACCGATAATAAGCCCATTTTTTTTCCGAGAAGTCATAAATGAAGAACGATAACGTAACATTTTACAGCAAGCCCTGGAATTAATGCATGACGATGAACATGGGTACTTTAAGTAAGATGGAGCTACAGCATATACTGCAGCAAAAACTATCTTCAGGAAGATATCTTCAGGAATATGGGTTTGTGGCCTCCTCGAAGCCCTGATCTCATACCTTTAGATTTTTATCTTTTTAGCCACATCAGAAATAGTATATTTAAACATCTTCTCCACACACTTGAAGAGCTGGAAGCAACAATTGAACATGAAATATACATTATAACAGCAAATGAACTTGAACGCTTTTTGGGTGCATGAAACGCAGAGTAAATTTATGATTGGCAAAAGAAGGTGGTCATTTTGAATATCTAATATAAATATGATTAATATAATAAGTATTTGTTAGCTGAGTAACTCTGTGTCTATGCTCTTAGCATTGTAAGGTAAAACAATTTACCTATTTGTATTTAGTTAGTTAGATAGTTAGTTAGTTCATTGACCACGTTTACATACATTAGTACATTTGAAGTCATAAATTTAGGTGGTAGATCTACAGTCACATCCACTTAAATAATTGATATATTCATTTACTGTGTAGAAACATTTCTTGAGTAACTCACCTTTAGCAAGTTTAACAAATTGATTAAAGTTCATATTATTTGTCTGAATGTAATAATTAGTGAATTTATTATAGAAATTTATATCCAATTTGTTAAGCTTAGTTGTACGGATTCGGGAATACGGCTGAATTAAATTTTCCGCAAACCTTGTATCATTAAATAATGAAATAATAATGATAATAATAATAATGAAACAAATGTTTTGTATTTTATTAATATTATTTTTATTATCTCCGAATGAAAGTGGTTACAAAAGAGACTATAGTTTTTAAAGAACAACCTCCTTCAATCAAAAAATACTTTTTCAATATAGAATGAGATAAAAATTCAAAATATTTTAGAGGAGTATGATTATTTTGTTAAGTAAAAATGTAAAAAATGAATTTTTTCTATTTGCAGATTGAAGCAAAGTTTGTAAAGCAATGTAAATGTACCCCACTGGTCTCTCATTTGTCTTTAGGGAATAGTGTACTAATCAATGCACGCAGTGTAAGTGTGGTTGCCTAATAGTCTCGGTCTCATGGAACTCGGACATTTATGAAAGCACTGTATGTATTTTATCAACCTCATAGAGCAGGGGTCGGCAACTGGCGGACCGCGGTCCAGGTACGGACCGCGGAAGGTAAAATACTGGACCGCCAAAAATTTTTTGAAAGTGTAAAATACTCAAATAAATTATTTAAAAAATGTTTTTTTGCGATTGAGTGCCAACCTTATCATTTTTTCTAGTATGTTACAACTGTGTGAGTGTTTTGAGTTCTTAATGGTTAATAAGCAGATTAAATTTGAATCCAAATTAAAATAAAAAATTTGTAAGAAATATGATTTTTTTTTTCTGGACCTCGTTAAAAACTTTCAAAAGTATCCGGACCCCACCTAAAATTACTTGCCGACCCCTGTCATAGAGCATAATCGGTTTGGACTTCTGCTGATTTCATCAGTTTAATAACAATAATAAAATAATGATAATATACATTACTGTCGTATATATCCATAACAATTATTATTTACAAATATCTAACAGTACATGTTGTTTTACAATTTCGTGTAAAAACATATTTTTTCTTAATTTTCAAAAAACATTCAAATTGTGTCGTTTCCCGTCGATTATTTCTTTCTGACACAAGTCAAAAGGGGTCGCTTACAATGTGAATGATTTGTTCCAAACATTTTGTTCTTTGCTATTTAACCAATGAAATATTATTCTTTCTGAGCAGTGTATTTATCTACAAACATGGAATGATCGCCTGAATATTTCTATTGCTTGCTAAAGGCCTACGAATTGAGACACAAGGCACAATTTACGAATCGTTTGGAAAAATTTACATGTATTTCTCGTTAGAATAAGTATTGGGACATTTGCCAAATATCCCAGTAGGCTGGGACCAGCTTTAGAGGGTATAGCACAACTACTTTAAAAAAATGTATACTGTGTGCAGGTTTTGTCAAATAAAAGATTTTATTCAAATAAAAATAACGACTTATGTACAACTGAAGTATAAACTATACATACATCTATAAAATGTTTAATAATTAAGCTATATCTTTAACAAAAATATATTTAATATGTTAATTTTATGATGATATTTTTGCAACACAGTTATTAAATACAAAGGAATTATTTACATTATTAATATGATACAATTTTTACATTCAATGATATTGCTATTTGCACTCTGATAGCTTTCAATGTCACTTAGTAAGCTATATAATAGCTCTCTCTGTTAGTAAGTAGTAATCCAAAAAATACCTAAGGATGCGGAAAATTTTAGTTAAATCCTATCAAGTCTTAATTCTATAGATTGCAAAGCAGCAGAACCGCTGTGACACTGTCTATATTTAAAAAATTGTTATTATTTATAATTAAGCTAAGTGATCAATGTGATTGTAATACTATTTGTACCACAGTTATAAAGTACAAACATAAATATAGAATGTACTGTAAAGAATACATTGTAATAAATATTTCAATGTAAGACAAATGACCTATATCTATTTGGGATCACATTTCGTAGCGTTCCTATTTTACTAGGTGCTTTCAAAAAGTAATATTATCTCAAATCAAGAACACTTCTATTTACCTGCATATTATAATTGAATTAATTAAAATTTCTTAAATAAATGTCTCCTTGGAGGAAAAGAATTTACTTAATTTAAGATTATGGTATGCCCATCAACAGCAAATAAGTGTGGTTGTCTCAAGATAATATTTTCTTCTGTGTATCTTGTTTGTCACCATCGGAAGGCTTATCGGAAGGTATGAACCTTCACTTTGATTATGAGAAATGAAAAAATTTGAAAAAATTGCAGTCATGCGTGTTTTTATTCCTCAGTTTTTGAGTTAAATCCAGTCAAAATGATGGGTCAATACCTTTGCATCCGACAGCAGTTCAAATGATCTACATAACCTAAGTTTATATTAACATTGATTTCCTTATAGATACTATCACATTAAATCTGACACCATAGGAGTCACTTATTCATTTTTCCATCTCGAACGCAGGATTTGCTACTCCATTCTCCGAATTTTTATCGCTCACGTTTTTATTCTTGTCATTCTCCTCCTTCACTATGCCGTTCTCGATGCTTCTGTTCCTGATTCCGTTCATGATTGGTGATCCTATCCGCGCCTCCTTGGGCGTTGTCGATAAGATAACATCAGTGATAACGGAATTCTCTTCTGGTTTAACGCCACTTTCTAAGTCTTTCTTGGCTTCAAGGGACTGTGCGTCTTTCTTGTGTTGGACGTACATCCACCTGAAACGGTCAGTGATTAGCATTAGTTCACTTCTTTTCGTAAACAACTGTGGTTGTTCTCGAAAGATATTTACGAAAGCTTAATAACATGTTCTACGACACAATCTAAAAAATTGTTTTTATTGCAATATAGACATGTAAAAAGATCTGGGAACTCAGAATATAGTAAAGACTATTAGCCAATTTTTTGGTAGTAGTAGAAATAATAATATTTAATAATTCAAATACATATTTAACGGAAAATTTAACAATGGACTCCTTATAGTGAGAAAAACCTGAAATCTAGTAGAGAAGCAAAGTAGACATATGTAGATATTATACACTTTGTCGTATTTCGTATCGAAACTTTAGTAGTAACATATAGTTATTTACACCGTAAAGGATGTAAGTATTATTTGCACGATTTGCACGAGGACGATTTTGCGCCCGAGCGGAGCGAGGGCTGGCAATAGAGTCCGAGACTGGTAAATTATACTTAACTGCTGCGTGGTGTATAACATTTTATCTGCTCCTACAGTTCATTATGGTTCATGAAATAAAGATTAGATTTTATTTTTTGATATTTCTTAATCGATTCATTTCGACATTATTCGAAATCTTGCAAAGTCTCCTTGGTTGTTTGGATTTTGTCGTTTCTAAGGTGTTTATAAGCAAAGCTACATAAAAGTTGCAATTTTGTTGGTTTCGAATTATTATTTCTAAATGAGTGATTTTCAAATAGAAAGTGATGCCTGCGAATTTTTATTTCCCGAGAAGTCGAAAGTGCGCTACGGACGAGCATATAGAATTTTTAAAGAATGGTGCCAGATCAAAAATACTAGTGTTTCTGAAATGTCACTGCTAACATATTTTATGGAGGAGTCAAGAACTTAAAATCACCGGCGAGTTTGTGGAGTGAAAAAGTCAAACGTTTTTACAAGAGAACAAGTGAACGATTTTCTCGTTCGGGCACCCGATAACACATATTTGCTAATGATGGTAGTGACGGTCTTAGGCATTGCAGAAGCATGCCGTTCTGATGAGTTATGCAAACTTACTTTGGACAACGTCAATTTCAAAAAATTCGATGACATTATTATAGTTACAATTCCAGATTCTAAAAATGGTATGTCACGCGCATTTACAATTACTTCTGTTTCTCACCTAGAAATTGTCAAGAAATATAGCAAGATTAAATTGGAACCAGTCGGCAAGAATGCCCGTTCTACGATTCCTAATAAGATTGCACAGTTTTGGAAACTAGAACATCCTGAAACATATACAGGCCATTCATTCCGAAGAACATTGGCAACGTTACTGGCTAATACAGGAGTTGGAGTATTAGCAATCAAGATACATGGTGGGTGGAAATCAGCCACAATTGCAGAAAATTATGTATCGTAATATTTCGTATACTTACCCAAATATTAAAACTGCAGGCACGGTAAGTATTCCGCCGAGAATGTAAAAAGCTCCTGGCATGGCGTTAATTGTAGCAGCGTACGTGGCGCTGTACATAGGTCCATAAACGAGAGGCATCAGTGCCTCGCAAGCTCCAAAGAGTGAGTTTACCTTCCCTGAAAGCATATTTATTAAACTATATAATTCGTCCCCAACATTTCTTGAAATATTGAAGAATATGTGTCACTTATTATATTATTCACGTTGCTTCAGTTAAACCAGATTTTTCTATAGCGCTGTCAATATTAATAATATAAAAAAGTATTTCGAATATTTCCATTATAAATTTTTCTTTGCGAGTATAGGTGTGTCCCATTTCTTATGGATGCTAGTTAATTCCATTTTTTCGAGTAGAACACTGCGAAAAAGACGTATTGAATTTTTTTAGTTATTCGTTGAAATTAAATCACCCTTTGACAAACAAATATTGTTTCTAAGACAGTTTGTTTCGGTATTATTTGACATTTTTTGATGGCGTTTGTACAATCTTCGAATAGTTATTTATGTACCAAGGGAGATACAGGGACGATTATGCCCGCAGAGCAGTCGCCTAAGAACATAATCATCCTAGTGTCTCCCGTGGTGCATACAACGTTTTATTATTTTTTTTCAGACATCTGATTTTATATTTATTTTTAATTTAATAATTAGTAAATAAGAATGAAATCAGTTTTTCAATATATAAACGATGTATCCAATATGTATCTATGACACCCGCAAATTTGTTGATTTTGATAGTTTAATGTTTTATTCTGAGGATACATGTTGAAAAGGCAGAATAGATAATATTCCAGCAATAGTTGCTGCTAGAGCCAATAAAGCCAACGAACAATTACTGCCTAATAAATCTAAATTACTTTATGATAAAGATTATAAACGTTTTGAGACTTGGACAAGCAGAAATCCAGTGACAGCTGTTAGTGATGAGATATTTAGTAGTTAGTAAGGAGATATTTCCAAGCCCTAACACATTGTGGACAAAGCATTCAGTCTGAGGACCACAATATTAATGCGCAGAAAAGTAAATATAGGAGAATATCATCGATTAGAGGCTTATTTGAAGCAAATATCGAAAGGATATATTCCAAAAAAATCTAAGATATTGACAAGAGAGGATATTTTGAAATTTATTAGAGAAGCATACACATCTTTTGGAAAAGGTAATATAGGAAATAATTGGCTATATTATTGCATGTGCTTAATAGGTTTTTGTTATTGTAGATTATTCTAGTAATGGGTGTTGTTGGAGGATTAAGAAGAGATGAGTTAGTAAAACTCTCGATAGATGGTATAGATGACAACAGAATCGTTGTTGTAGTAAAAATTAACGATACAAAAACTGGAGTACCAAAATCTTTTACTTTGTGGAAGAAAACGCTCTCCAATTGTATCGACCAAATGAAATTAAAGAACGGCGGATTTTTCTGACATATTGGAATGGTCGATGTACTGCGTAACCAGTGGACAAAAATAGTTTCGGTAGCGTACCGTCCAGGATTGTAAAGTATTTCAGCTACACAGATGTTAAAATGTACACAGGACATTGTTTGCGTCTTACATCGGCAAGTCGTACATCGTAGATGCAGGTGCAGACATAATAACATTGAATAGACATGGACAATGGAAGAGTGTTGTAGTATCAGGATATGTAGAAGATAGCATAAGGTCCAATAACAAAATATCTCGTTTAATAGCAGGAATCGAAAGAACTACTACTGATGCCAATTTTTCTGAATTAATTGTGAGGGAAAATGAACAACATTTATTCGATGGCAAAGAAAATGTAGGTAGTTTTTCTTGTATTACTGTTAAAGATTCATTCTCAAATTGTACTTTTAAAGACGGTTGTAAATAATATTTGTTGTTAATTTAAAGCAAATTATTGTTATATATCAAATATTAATGTTAATAAACTTTATACTTTCATTTGTTTGCTTCATTTATACAAGACACATTTACTATTCTACCCTTGCAGAAGAGAAGGGTACAAGGGTCAAAATGCGGGTGATAATATTTAGGTCAGCATATTTCGCCCTAGAGTGATATATAACGTTGACTTCCTAATCTGTTTCCTAGTAATAAATAATCGATCTCGTGTAAGTGAAAAATAAATATCAAATATCCCCAAAATTAAACTTGACAAGAAAAAGCGGTTTTCATCATTCCTTTGAGCATGAAAAAAAACTTATATTATCCATGACATAATTAATATATTTCAAATATAAAAATAATTGTTTTGAATCTCGGAAATTTTTTGTTTTTATTAAGGTCATAAGGTTTAAGAGGTATTTACGTCTATTTTAATAAGTACATAATCGTGTTATTTTTTCAAATTATGAAAAAAGTTACAGATTATTATAAACTCCATTGTGACAAACTGTTCATTTTGCGTATGCCATACTTATTCATGAAATGGGACACCCTATGTAACGAAAAATATTTTAAGATACGAAAAAATTTATTTAGTGCAGCTTTGTACTACTGATATTATCAGAGAATACGTTTTGAACAAGACACACTACAGGCAAAATATTTTTTATATTATGGCGAAGTCGCCGGTTAAAGATGTTTGATATAGCAATGTAACCTATTAGCTTTGTTTTGGTTCTCTATTTCTGAACGATTCGGAATTATCCGGAGTTATTTGAAAACCAGTACGCATTACAAAAATATACTCATAAAACCCAATTAAAAGATACTTTTCTTAAACGAAAAACAGGAAATGAAAAAATTATGAATGACAAACGGAGCTTGGGAAAATGGAAATAACTACGCATGCACCAAATAATACAGCTCTATTCGTGCTAGGAAGCAGAAGTACTTCGGATGATTCAGAATGGTTCCGAATCAAGTTCGAATAAAACCAAAACAAACATCTGTGAAATTCTGAACCGTTCAAGTAAACACAAACGCATATTTCAGACTGCGCATGATTAGAACCGTTCGGAACCGGATTTTATGGAAACCAAAACAAAGCTATTATTGTTATTTTGTTACCTTTTACTTTTGTTTTTGTTTAGTTACTATTTATGAGTGCTGCTAATTTATATATTATCAGTAAGTGAAGAAAAATTATATTGGAGTAAAGTTATCGCACTTACCAAGTTCGTCTGTAGGTACAAGTTTTGAAGCGATCGATCTCATAGCTATGAAGGAAGTTCCGTTTAATATTTCAACGATGGCACCTAAAAGAAAGGAAAATAATAAATTTATAAACTTACTTTTATAAAGTTCTTCGCAGCATCTAGAAAATATACAATATACATAAGAATAGTAGGGTAAACATTTTTTTGAAAGTCACCTTCGTTACATCCTGTTGTGTTACTAATCAAAGTACCATTGACTTTCAACTGTAAATACCCCATGCATTTGAATATTCTGTGACAATATGTATACAAAGAAAAACATATGTCTATTATTGGTATCTGCGGTTTAACATTAGAAAGAAATAAATATTCCATGTCTAGTTTAGGAAAATCCAATTTTTATGCAGTGTTGTTCTGAATTTATACAGGGTGTTTCTAAAATAGGGTTCCAAACTTCTGCTGCGTGTATAACCCATTAAAATAAGCCAAAAAGTTCCTATTAACATGTGCCCTAAAACGCACCCTTAGGAATTTATATGCCCTTAAAAGGGCTCAAACAAAACTGTTTTTTTTTTGAAACGGTCGCAAATAAATAGAAAAAAATTTATGGGTCTTACATAACTTTTTACGTTAATTAACATGGGCTGCTCCGTTTTTCGACATGCAAATCATATGCGTCCCATTTAGGTAGGTGTAGGGGGTTTTCGGCCCGTAATTTTTTTTATTTCAATTTTTTTACAATTTTCTCTACAGATTTATAAAATCTTAACAATTTTACGTAAAAAATATTATCTTTGTCCAAATCGATATTTCCAATGGTTTTCGAGTAAATTGAGTTAGGCCAAAAATTACAAAAATCTGTTTACCATGGCAAATAAAAGACTGACGTTGCCACAACGCTTAACAATTTAAGTTATTGATAAACTGTCAATTGAGCTTTGCAGTGTTTAATTAGTAAAAGTGGTGAGTGGAAAATTTAAGTATAAAAAAAAACAGTTTTGTTTGAGCCATTTTAAGGGCATATAACTTCCTAAGGGTGCGTTTTAGGGCACATGTTAATAGGAACTTTTTGGCTTATTTTAATGAGTTATAAACGCAGCAGAAGTTTGGAACCCTATTTTAGAAACACCCTGTATGTTGCGAAAGGTATTAATGCTGGTCTTTCAAGTTTTGTATCTACCAATTTAAAATGTATATAATCATTATATAATAATATTACTTACACCAAAAATGAAGGATATATCTTTTTTGGAACCTAGAACCTAGTTTATGAAATTCCAATTTACTCAGCAAATAATGATAATAATTCAGTGTTGCTGTGTTGCTGAAAAATTCGCAATATTCGCAATACCTCTAAAGAAATGTTACGTATTATTTAGAACCTCACGTGCCATTTTTTACTCAGGAATTTTTGGATTTTCAAACTTCATATTGAATAGAAAAATGTGTGACTTAAAGGGGTAAGTCGGACCTTGGCCTGTAGGTGGTTTCTTTCTAACCTTTTGAGGGATAAGTTATATCATATTTTTTTGGTATGTTGACTATCAATCTACATTTATATACAGGGTGTCCGCAAATTTCACCGACAACGTTTGACTGTATATTCACGACGATAAATAAATACGATCTATGAAATTAAGTTAAATAAAAGCTTGTTGAGTTACATGCCTTCAATATTGTCAAAAATAAAACTAATTTAATTAATTACTTCATAACCCTTTTACGGATCGCGTTAAAATTGGGCACATTTATTTAGACGTTTATGGCGTATTATTTCTTAAAGCTTTAGTCAAATTGATAGTGACTTTTTCATTTACAGTTTATAAAAACCATTGAATGTATACAGCAAAAACGATATTACTAAGCAAATATTCGGTAGGTATATTTTTAACCAATGCCAAAAAACTCGCCGTCATGGTCTCAGTTCAATAAAATTGTTGTAATTGACAGATGTGATTTCGTACACATAATCATTATAACTTGATCTTTGACTTTACTATTGTATGTATTTCATTGCATTCATTGCATGTTCGTTGTTTCCGTAATTAACAATTAATAGATATAAAAATCACTACGACGTTCTCAAATCAGTTTTGTGGTTGATTTTATATATAACACAATTTTTAAAAATTTAATCACGTTTTTATAGGAATGCAATAAATTACACAATTACTGTTGAAGCTGCTAATTAAATTTGTTATGTAAGCTGTTAGAAAAAGTCAGTTATAAAAATTACTTGCACAAAGTTGTTTTGGAACCGCTTTTTTAAATTTAATTTACCATTGAAAAGGCATATAAACTGAATTTTTTTAAATCTATCTATCTGCACGTTCTAAGAAAAATTATATGGTTATTTGGAGGTAAGTTTTGTTATAGCGATTATTGCAGCATGGAAATTTTATTACTTATTTTTTATATATTTTACGTTACTTTTTTTATGCAGTACTTAATTTGCATCTATAAAAACATGCCACATTAACAAATCTGACCATGGAGCCACAATAATAATTAAAGATTAATTATAATTAAAATATTTTATATAGGTATAACAAATTTTAATTGGACGTAGAACACAACCAACTAATTTTGAAACACCCCGTGCTTACTATTTAATATTAATACATTTTTAAATACAGGGTGTTTTTTCGAATTTGACTTATGCTTGAATAACTGTTTTTACGAATATAGTAGTCCTTTTGCAAACCGAAAACCTATTATACTATGAAAAAATAACAGTTTTTTTAAATAGTATATAGATTGGGTAGTAGGATTCAAATAAAAATTTGTATGCAAAGTAGTGGTTTTAAAGTTAAAGCAGAGAACAGTTTCAGTCAAAGCCAAATATGGTAGTTCACCCAAAAAAAGAAATTCTTGAAGCAAGGGTGGTATATTTATGTATACAAAAAGAAATATATTCTTGATACTACCACAGTCTTAAACTAAATAAAATTTCTTCATTTAAATGAACCTTTCCTTGAAAATATTTCTTTGCATATATACAAGGTGATTCACAACTTATCCAAAAAAAATTGGGAATAGATGAAGCATGAGAAATGGAATCAATGTCGTAAAAAATTTTTTGTAAAATCCTTATAGTTTCCGAGAAAAAAAATATTGAAGTTATAGTACATTCAACCACTACATAGCTGGACAACTGTAGTCTCTAGCGTCATTCGCCACGTGGCCTCAGCGACTCCGAATACTGAATTCGGATTTTGCAATCGTCGTTGCGATATTTACGACAGGTTTTTAGTAGTTAGTGTCAAAAATGGGTAGTTTGTGTCAAAAATGGTTTGCGTGTACTCGGAGTTGATGGATATGGTTTTAATTTATGGCGAAGTATTTGTGTTATGGTGAAACAAGACAACATTTGTGTTAGTTCGTAGAAACTGAGTGTCACGGACCCAAATGTGTTTACACATTGGTGGATAAAATTTTGAACAATTGTTGTTGTAACATCGGGTATGTCAAATGATTTTATTATTTAAAAACACAAATTAATTTTATTAATTAATAAAGGCAACGATATAAAATAGGTGCGATAAAATTCTATTTACATATTTCTTTCCTTGCGATTGTTTTTGTCCGTTTTTATCACACCGCCATGCCGGTCGCATTGTGCGAGGTCAGGTTTTACAGTGGACCAGTTTCCAGTGCCGTGCAGAAGTGTATTTTTAAATCATTTTCGAACTGCCCTTTTTGATTTTTTCTTTACAAAATTGTATTTGTAAGGGTCCCCTGTACATCCAGAATTTTTTTTCTTTGATAAGTTCTGAATCACCCTGTATGTATAAATATACCATTCTTGATTTAAGAATGTCTTTTTTGCACGTATGTTGGGACAAAATGCATAAATCGAAACTTTAAATATTAGTAAACTGGAAAATTTGTTATTTTAAAAATATGGTAGAATTTATAAAATTAATTTAATTTTTTTTTAATAAAATATGTTTAATGCCAAAGGAAGTAAATATAAAAAGCAAGTAGAGAAAACCATATCAGAGAGAAGTGGATAGAAAAATATTAAACTGCAATTTTTCAACCTTGTATAGCAATATTAATTGATATGGCCTCAAAGTATTAAGCGAACCTCTTTTTTAAATAAGTTTTACTATTACAGTTCTTTCTTCGTTGTATATCCGTAATTAATAATATATTAGTACATGCAATATGGTAAGAATTTAGTTAAACTTAATGTTATGAACTACTGTTTGGTTACGAGTTACATAATTTCGTTCTTTAAGGTTATTTAATACGTCCGTAAACTGTTACAATCATTCGTTTTTATTATTAACAAAAAAAGTACTTAAATAAACACATTTCTCATTATCGCTAAATGGTACAAAAATACTTCAAACTTACACATTTTACATATGAATTATATATAATATGTAGTTGTAGTTACGAAATATGACGAAAAAAAATAAATGAACGACGTTCAGACCATGAACCACTGTAGTTTGAATGAGAGGTTTGCCTACAGCACGAACACGTAACGATAAATCATTTATCTCTACACAAATCCGCACATTCTTAATATTTGTGCAAACCAAATGATTTCCCAACAACACGTCGCATAAATATACATAATTCGATTTATGTAGATAAATCGTTACGGTTTGTCGTTAAGTGTAAAGCTAGCATTAAGAAATATCACTGAACTTGCTTTGTGGCTTGAGGGATAATAATTTATTCATCCTGTAGGATATCCAAAAAAAGTTTTAACAAAAGCGGAGATTGAGAAATTCGTACGAGGCATCAGATGAAGGCTTATTATTAATGACAGTGAGTGACATTAATTCATTAGTATTTTTATAGATTTGTTGATCAAGTATTTATATTGTTTCAGGTTATTTTAGTATTTTACATATATGGGGCATGGAGAAAAAGCGAAGTATTGAATTTAATAATCGAAGATATTTAGGATAAGGAATCAATTATTATTATTGTTAAAATCCAAGATTCAAAAACTCGCAATCGAAGAACATTCATTATTTCAAATTTGGCTCATATTAAATTAAATTAAAATATTATACTTTGCGACTAGAGTACACTATCAACCGTAGATATTTTATTAGAAATGTCAATAAGTAAATCAG